CAAGTCATCGATGTATAGATCCACTATTTTCGCCTCGAAAGTTTTCAAACTCAAGTTCTATAGGTAAAAAACGATGCTGAATCTCGTAGGCCTGTTTTCCTGGTGGCTAGAGTACTTCAGCAATGGTTTAGCCTGTTAGGTATTACCTTCTTTAGGGAAAAATTTGAGTGTACTGCTTTTTAAAGCTTTGCTAGTTATCTCTCGAAAAACTTCGTTTTATTTTACCAAAATTTAATATGGTTATCACAAAAACAAACAACGTTATCTTTTACGAAACAAGAAATTTAAAAATTTAAACTACCCCTTATATTGCCACTGTTTCAAGTTCGTGTGGCAAGGAGTACAAAATTGTGGGAAGGGGAGGGAAAGGTGCAAAAAATGACCTTCAAGCATTGTGACTTTCATTGATTTTGATAAAAAAATTTATTTTGTTTCTATAAGGAGAAATCTATTTCCATTACATTAATTCCATTCTTCTTCCATTATTATTTCCATTACATTAATTCAATTCTTACCTGGAAAAATGGAATCGTCATATGTATGCAGTTTAGTTTCCTCTAGGGAGAATTTGGATTCCAGTTTTATCTAGCGAAACCTAGAATTTCACTGGAGAAAAGTGGAATAGAGCATGTGCCCGCACATGCATCTTAGTTTTCACTGGAGAATACTCGGTTTCAGTTCTCTCTACCGTAATCTAGAATTTCATTGAATTCCAGTTTTCGCTACAACATTAACAAAAAGAAAAGTAAAAGTCTTGTTCATATAACGGGTGGGCCAGATAAAACCGGCCACTTTTGTTCTGTTTTTTTGGTCCCCTTAACTGTGGTTGCAGATAATCATTTTATGCTCAATCGATACAAAATTTTTCGCTCTACAAATCTGCCGGTGTTGTAGATAGAATATATTTTCCATTTGTTCGAAAAATCATGAAAAGTGACGACCTTCAAAAGGTGATACTGCGATTACATGAACAAGGCTTGAGTAGCCGACAAATTTCGAATCATCTCGTGGGTCAAGTCAACAAAACAACGATCAATGACTGGGTAAAAATGTGTCGCGAATTCGTTGAGCTCAGTTTGAAAAGTCCACCTGGTCCAAAACGTACCAAAAGAACAAAGAGATTGGTGCAACAGGTGAAACAACATCTTCTGCGTAACAAGAAGAAAAAATCTGCAAGAAAATTGGCCAAATCACTGAATGTATCAAGAACAACCATCCGTCGAGTGATTAGAGATGATCTGGTTCTGAAATCGTATGTCAAACGTGTTGCACCGAAGCTCACGGACACACAAAAACAAAAAAGATTTTCGTTTGGAATTTGGACAAGAAAGAATGTCAGAAAATCATTGGCAAGAAAAATCTTGTTTTCGGATGAAAACCGATTCGATATTGACGGTATATATAAATGATAGAATATATGCTCCGAATCGTGAACAAGCTGATGAAAATGGTGGCATTCACCGAAAAACAAAATTTCCTCAAGGTGTGATGGTTTGGTTAGGCGTATGTTATGACGGCGTGACACGCCCAGTTATCATTGAAAATGGTACGATAAATCATCAAAGGTATGTTGACGAAATACTGCCAGTCATACTAGAAGATGGTCAGAAGTTGATGGGAAATGAGTTTACATTTCAGCAAGACGGGGCACCGGCGCACAAAGATCATCACACGCAAACATGGTGCAAGGATCATTTTTGGGATTTTTGGCCAAAATCGAGATGGCCACCAAATTCGCCCGATCTCAACCCTCTCGACTATTCCATTTGGTACGAACTGTGTGAGCAGATGAACTGGGGCCAAAAGACTTTAATTTATCAAATCCGTGCCGGTGTAAAAAAGATCCGAACAGAAGTCGTGCGTCGCAGTGTGGACTGTTGGACTAATCGAGTTTATCGAATGTTGCAGAAAAGATGTGAATATGTTTTTTAAATAAAACATATGGTTTGAAAGAGCAGAAAATTCTCTATCGA